AATGCTTATAATTATAAAATTGAAGAATTAATTATATAATTATATTTGTTTATAAGAATATTCTATATAAGAATAAATTACTTATAAGAATAGGTTTTCAAAACAAGTTAATTATAATGTATATTAAAATTAATTTCTTATAAAAACATTAATTTTTATAAGAATAAGTATTTTATTTTCCAATCATATTCTTATAAAAAGATATTATTATATTAATAAAAAAAATTTTTCTTTTTACATTAAAGTTTATATTGTTAAAAAAATTTTAAAAGTTATAATCCTATATTTTTATAAGAATAATATTATATTAACTTTAAATAATTATCATATTTTACTTATTTATAATTGCAAAAAGTTTCTGAGTTGGCAAATTATTCAACATATATTTGAGTATAAAATTGGTATCTTTTTCCTAATGAAAGTATTTAACATTTTAAATTGAAAAGCAGCAGCATTGACTGCTTTGTCCATTTCTCTATCTAAATTTAATTTTTATTTTAATATTTGATTTAATTCAATTTAATTTAATTTTTATTACATTTTATTCTAAGAATTTAATTATATTGAAATGTTCTGGAATGCAGCAAAAAGATATATACACGTACAATCCGAGTATATTAATGACAATATTTCCAAAAGCATTTCATTAAAACAATCCATGCTTTGCAAGATCATCATTTAGCGTTAGATATCGGCATGGATTAACAGACAGGTAAAGCTGCAAAATACATGTATGCAGTTAAAAAATATTTAATTGCATAGGAGTTATTAATGAGAGGATTATAACGTGCTTTTTAACTAGTTTTAATTATAATCGATTGTCACGTGATTAACTAAATATTACATAAGCAACAAAACTTTGGCTGTTCAAAAAATAAGCATAGTTTATGTTGCCAAATCCCGAAGAACACAATCCCGAACGTTCAGGTCCGACAGACGAGATCTCGAATGGTCGAAATCCCCGAATGAGCGACATCCCGAATCCACGAAATCCCGAAAGAATAGCATGATCGATGAACGGCATCCTGAATGATCGAAATCCCGAAAGTATAACTTTCCTAGATAATGGAATGTCAAATTTACACGATTTCGGGATTTCGATCATTCGGGATGCCGCTCATCGACCATGCTATTCTTGTGCATTCGGGATTTCGTTTGTGTTCTTCAGGATTTCGTACCGGTCCCGTATTCGACAATTCAAATTCCATCCAAATGAACGTAATCCCGAACTAACGACATCCCGCATGCACGAAATCTTGAAATATGATAACTTTGGTATACAGTGGCTCACAAAAGAAACGAACCACGGAAAAAAACGGCGCGATACGAATACCTCGCCGTAGGAGAACCTGGACAACCAAACGGTGAGTGTATTGATTCATCAATATCTACAGTATTGAAAATATCAAAATTTATTCGCTTCTATTTTTTGATTAAAGATGCATTAACTTTTTTTATCTTTTTTTAGCGTTGCGCTTACTACGACCGAACGGGACGGTGGACGGAAGGGCTATACAAAGATAAGTACAAACACTTTTGATTGTTTGTAAATTAAAAAAATAAGTTTTCACATCTAACAAACTGATCCATTTTCATAGTTATGACTAGAATCCTTATAGAGAAACGCGCCCGTATATACACGCTCCGGAAGAAGGATATTCGAAGCGGGAAATCGCAGCATCGGAACAAGTAGACCCGGCCTCCGTCTACCGGAAAAACCTATCGCCCACCAATCCTCTCGACACGCTACGAAAGAAACGCGTGCCGATTAATCCACTCCGGAAAATGTTCTATCGCTGTCGAGGTCCAATGAGAGTTTAAAATGAGTTGGACGTTGACCTTTCGGTGGAAAGCATACGACGTATGCTCCGTAAAAACAGATTATTCGCTCGCATAAAACGAAAAAAGCCTTACCTCAAACGAACACACAAAAAACGACGGTTGGCGTGGACGAAAAAATACCGAACTTGGACGGCCGACGAATGGCGTCGCGTAATTTGGTCCGACGAGAACAAATACCAAAGTTTCGGGTCGGATAGCCGAAAGTATTGCTGGAAGAAGCCCGGTTGTCAGTTAATAGACCAGCATATTACGCCAACCGTCAAATTTGGCGGTGGTTCGATTATGGTTTGGGTTTGTGTGACGGGCGACGGTGTTGGCGAGTTGAGAGAAATTGTGGGAAAAATGACATGCGGATGGCTATGTGGAAATCCTAACAAATAATCTTCTAGGGTCAGTCTGGGAGAAGGGGCTAGAGGATAGTGATTTTATCTTCCAGCAAGATAATGACCCAAAACACGTCTCCGGAAAAGCAAAGCAATGGTTCGCCGACAACGAGATCACTTTGCTAGACTGGTCATCCCAGTCTCCCGACCTAAACCTTATAGAAAATTTATGGAATGAGGTGGATCTGGGGATGAGGCAACTTCTAGACCACTTTTAACCCACAGAACAGTTGTGGGAAAAGTTGCAAGTGGCGTGGAAGAGCATAGATCTCGATTATTGTTCCAAATTGTACGAATCTATGCCAAAGAGGATTAGTGAGGTAATAAAAGTGAAAGGTGGTGGTTATATAGAATATTGAATAAGGTTAGATGTAATGTAGTGCGAAAAAAATTTAGCAGCTTGTTAGTTAGAAATTCGTCCTCCTATCTCACCTTCCATTTCATCATAATTAGTGCAACACTAAAGATAGACGCAAATCAATTTTGATATCGTTAATACTAGAGATATTGACGAATCACTATACTCACCTTTTAGTTTTCCAAGTTTTCCCTACGGCGAGATATTCGTATCTGCGCCGTTTTTTTTTTCCGTGTTGCGTTCTCTTGTGAGCCATTGTACATGCTATAATTTCGGGATTTCGTGTATTCGGGATGCCGTTCGTCCGGGATTTCGTTCGTCCGGGATTTCGATCATTTGGGATAGGATTTCGTTTGTTGGGCTTATGAACTGCCGGAAATGTGTTTTCACCAACCAGCATTGTTGTTGAACTATTGAAAGACTAAAAAAGCAAAGCATTCGGAGTGGGTGAGTGAGAGTATAGGCAAATGCGAGAATGGACAAAACAAAGCGAAACTGGATGAGAACGAGTGGGTGAGAGCGAGAATGAGCAATTAAAAATATTGTATTTTTCATATGTTTCGGTCATAATTTTAAACGATCTTTATTATTTATATACTGTACATATATCACGGCAATTATTTAAATTACTATCATTACAAAATGTGACCAAATAATGTTACTAATAAAAAAATCACCGAATTCATGTGCATTTATAGATATATGTGACACGGGTGGCAAAAACCAATAGAGGGGATCATCCCGGCAAAATGAATAACTAATAAATATGTCAGAGAGGCAATTCCCATGCAAACTTGATTCCAGTCCTAACCCTACCCTGACCAGGTGATAAAATTTCTCCCAGTGTTTCGGCTTAACCTGTCACACATTTCAAATATGCACCTAGTTCAAAACAAATTACATGTAATAATATTGGTCTTATCTTTGGGTCATGCGATTTTTGATTTTTTACTTTGCATTTTATCTTTTGGCAAAATGTAGATTGTGATATTTTCAAATTTTCTGTGACAAAATTATTGGATTAATAATGCATGAAATCCAGAAGTCCGCTCGCTCAATTAAATGACAATATATTAAGCGATATTAAAAAATAAAATTTTCGACTAGCTGTTAGTAAAAAAGTGTGTTTTTCTAAAACTTGTGTGAAGAAATAAATGAAATTACATTTACATGTAATATTATATGTTAAATCTGTTACATGTATTATGTATCTATAAAGGTATGTGCACCATCCGCACATGCCGTTTGTTTATCAAAAATTTTTAGTCATGACGAATTTGGATAAGTATGGACAATGTTCTAAGATGCGTTTGCATCATAGGATAGACATTATGTTCATTTTGCAAAAAAAAAATCAAATTTATAAAAGATAAAAATGGTTAGAAATCATTAAAACGTCCCAGCAATGGGAGTTTATCGATACAATAGTTTCCTTTTTTTGAATTTAACATAATCTGCAGAATGGACCGTAAACAGCTAATGCAGATTAACAAATTTCATTAATTCACTAAATACATGTAGTATGAAAAATGCGTGTTTTTTGAATAAATTACAAAATAATTCAAACACCTTTCTTATCTATTAAAAATTAAACTGTTTTCAATATCTCTAAACCGTCAAACTGCGGATATTTTTATAACACACATATTAATATAATGAACAGAGAATAGAGACATGCATGTACATGCAAATAATTTTCTTGCAAATAGCCTCTATTATGTTTTAGGACTTCATTAATAAAAAAATATTCATCACATGACCATTCTTTTTATTTGCCCAACCAACATCATATATTCATTAGCAGAATTTATTTAAACAAACTCGGTGATTTTTACAGTTATATAGTAAAATTTTTGCGTGCTGTGACAATTTATTAAACGACGGAAAAATTACGTAAAAATTAACATTCTTTCACCGAAAAAGAATTTTATTACTGTTTTGTGTAAAGAAAATTTGTTATAGCTTCGGTTGTGTCTCCAAATTTAGCAAGAGAATGAAAAATAAATCGGGAAAAAAGGGGATTTTCAATGATAATCATAATGGACTAAAAAACGATAATGCTTGATGCAATCCGAAACCATCCACTCCACAAATTCACCTTACACGTTAAAATTCATTTCTGCGAGCTCGCGTGCTTCTTTTATCCACGCACGGTTTTTTTTCAAGTCAAATATGTCTGTGATTCGATTCGTCAGTTTGACGACACAATTATTGTTATTAAATAGACGTGTCTTGGCTATTTATTTAAATATCCACCAAATATTAGAATTTCGAAAATTTACACTCTTTTGATTTTGATTTTTCATTCCTTTTTTTAACTCGATATTCCTTGTTAACTCGATATATTCCTTTATTCATGATATAACTCACGTGCATAATTTCAGACAATTCACAAACATCATCAAAGAAAACTCAAAATGGCAATTCTCACGAATGGATTTGCTCTAGTTTGCCAAAACTTTACCAATTCTGATTCACTACCATCACAATTTTGTGTTTGCGATTTTCGAATAAACACTCGCGGATGTGAAGAAGAAAGCTTTCTACGAACGGCGAATTGGATCTTATTAGGATACACAATACTAATAACGTTAACTAGCGGATGTTTCTTGTATTATCAAATACGCGTAAGAGGGCAGAGCTTACTTTTGCCAGCGACAAGAGAACGAGGCTTTATACGGCCACGACCACAAAATGCTGTTCATCTAATTAATTTTGCGTTCAATCTATGTTAGTTTTTTTTTGTTTACGTTAGGATGATTCTGTTTCGTGGATACTTATTTGCTAACGTATATTTCTTCCATTCATCGAAAAGTGAATACTATAAATTTGGTTTTATTACTTAGTGATGCATTTCCCAATACTTTGGCAGCAGAATGTAAGTGATGTTCAGGAAAATGAGATGCATGTGATTGAATACGTAACTAAAATTAATTATTGGAACTTTAGTATCTCATGATATCCCCCGAGTAGCTGTTTTAGGACTTTCAGCTCTGCTTCCGGTTAGTATTGGTGAGTAATAACAAAACCAATAAAGAGACGATATCTATTGACGAAAAGTTAAGAATACCTTGTGCTGATATAAAACTTTTGATTTGATATATAGTCTACACCATCCCAAATAACGAAAATGAATGTGCGATTCCTATACCAGATAAAAATTATCTTGATATCTGGGGTCTTATATTAATGTTCGGTCCATTTTCGTGTTGTGTTCCATTAGCGATACTCACCGGATACTACGCAGACCTAAATGATATTGAGAAAGCCAACAAATATTTCAAAATTCATTATTTAGTCCATTCGTTTTGGTTTGGAATTTATACGCTCACGATCATCATTTTTTGGTACATGTTAAACTCGGTGTTAAATGCACACATAAAAGAATTGAAAGAGAAAGATTGGAAAATGAAACAAGCGAAAAGAGCTTGTCGTAATGTGAGTAATTATGATTTATTCAATATTTTTGAGCACACCCTCGTTCTTATATTTGAACTCTAATTCATTCTCTCAATTTCAACTCAATCTAATAGTTTACACTCGTTGTATTCTTGTTTGTCACTATAGATAGCTCTTTTTTTGTAACGTGCTTTTTTTACGGAATATGGGAACATAACATCACCATATTCATGCCAGCTTTAAACAAGTTATATTTGTTTATATGGAACTTTTGTCTCGTTATTTTAGCCAATATCGTTCAGGGAGTTTTTCTTTACAAGTATGTTTTCGGAATTTTTTAGAATTAAGTCAGCTTCTCACCCATACTCATCGCATGTTCTTTTACTTTTCTAGTAATCTCACACCAACCGATGGACCACCCAAATTAGAAATTAATTCACGCACCAACACAACAAACACAATGAATTCTCATCAGCGCACGTTAGAAAACATTGACAACTGGGAAGATATGATTTTAGAAGCAAGACATGCGACGCTGGTAAATCCAGTGCAGTTACCTAATGATCAGTCAATGGAATTAGTTGATGAAAAGGCAACGATAAATTTAATGAATCAACCATTATCAGCATCGTTGGAATCGATCAATAAATTGTTTGATGAGCTAATCACTCCATAACAGTAAATTTTCCAATTTAACGGGTGTCATGGGATTTCTTCGCTATATAATCATTTTCTCATTCACTTAGATTAATTGCGAATTTAAAAAATAAGGGTGTAGAGTAGATTAATTGTGTATTTAAATACTGTAATTTTTAGCATCGAAATAGCCTTATCGTTATTATATTATAATAAACCGCGAGAATTATGTTATAAACTACTATCGGATTTGTCTTTTTAATGTATAAGATGTAAATTCGTCGTCTGAAAAATATCTATTAACCGCTTAAGCACGTAACGCTCAGACTTTGGGAGATCAATTTAACTAAATTCGGAAATAACCTTTTAAGCTAACACCAAGTTAACTAATAATTATGACATAATCCTAAACATAATCCAAAATACACAAACACAAATCTTATTGAAATTAAGTCTTTCTTGAATCGTACCCGATGAGGGGATGGTGTTATCTCTAATCATATATAATAATTAACTATCGTTTAATTTGTCCCTTCATATTAAACCAAAAATGTTATTGTAACACATGTAACACTTTTAATGATACTGTTAACACAAAATCAACTTATAGAAAAGTTCAATAAACAAACGAGAGAAATGTAAAAAGGCCGTAACGATAAGCAAATGCCAAGCATTTAAAACAAAAGATTTCTTTTAATGCATCAAATGTACATCATTCATTTCTTACGACTCATGCTCACAAAATTTTAGATCTAAAAGAGAGGCATATATCGAAGATTATCTATCTCGGTTACAATCACCATTTCCCTTAGTACGTACCCGGATACAAATTAGAGGGTAAAATACGGTACGCATAATGAATTTTGTTTCCTAATTCGAATTTTATTAACGTTTTAGATGTTGATTCGTGCAACCTTTTATTCAATACTATCTTCTATTAACTATTTTTCCTAATAAGAAGATCATAATGCTCCAACTCAGGAGGTTAATTTAGCTAGATGAAATAATATCTGTTGTAGCAGAAATGCTTTATAAGCTAACCAAAACATGTACTGTCGGAATTCAGATACATGTATTGTGATAATCTATTTAACCTAATTTTATGTCTTAGATGTTAATCCGTAACATAAATTGCGCAATCTATTGGTCTGGAATATTTAATACAGGCTTTTTATTAACCGCCTCTTTTCTATATAAAAGACACGTAACGCTCAGACTAGAATATCAGTTTAGCTAAATAAGATAGCGATAGTATCTGCTGCAAATGAAACGCATTGATCTTTAAGCTAACGCAAGTTAACCAGAACACGTTCAGTCGTCCCTCTATATAATCGCTCTCTATATAGTCACACCCCTTCTATCATCACACCTTTTTCAGTTTATTATAAAGCATAAAAAATTTGATCTCTATCTGGTTACAACTATACTTTTTTAACCATATTGTGAATATGAAATGAAGATGAATATTGATATGGAATAATAAATATTAAAAAATCACATTCCAATATGTCTGCAGTGTGTGACAACTATACTAAATTCATCATAAATCCACGAAGATTGCACCAAATTTGGTGATCAATATATCATTTTTTAAAAGCGAAAAAGTTACTATTACAGAATAAAATTTATTAGGCTCGTTCACCTTTGCTTTCAATAACTAACTCACAACGACGTCTCATCGAATTTATTAAATTATTTAGAACGGTTTTTGGAATAGAATCCCTCAAAAACTTCTCTAAAACATCCAAATTTTTAGGCCATAAATTTTCAATAGTTAAGGTCGGGACTACAAGACGGCCACTCTATAACTTCAGGTACATTATCGGCAGGAAACGCTTTAGCTATCCGACTGGTATGCTTGGGATCATTATCTTGCTGAAAGCGCCACTTCTTCCCGAGCATTTTATTGATCTCTTCGAGATGATCTTCAAAAATTTTAGCATAAAACTCGCCATTCATTATACGTCGGAAACAAAATAGACTCGTCTTTCCCTTTGCGCAAAAACCATCCCAGGCAAAGATTTTTCTACGGTCTTTCGGCATACGACGAACTGGACGTTTACCTTTATACCAGCGTTCAATTGTGTTCTGGAACAATTGAAACGCTGTCTCATCAGTAAATAGGGTTTTTTTCCAATGTGACGCTTGGCCCATTCAACATGATTCCGCTTATGAGTCTCCGTTAACATTGGCGTAGTTAAAGGCAGTTTTTTTTATATCCTTGTGACTTCAAATGTCTGCCCATTGTACGATAAGACACATCAACATCACGATTATTAAGTTTAATGGCAAGAGAATGTAATGATATTATATTGTATTGTCATGACGAATGGATTGGCCAATAGTTTTTGCTATATTGACTGTTATTTACTTTGGACGACCATTACCACCTCTATGCTTCAAAGTGCTAGTTTTTTGAGCTTTTCAATATTATATCGTACAGTAAAGACAGGTAACTGGGTAAGTTTGGATAGTTCAGGTACAGAACGGATGCCCAATGTAATAAGCTGTGCATCTTTTGTTTGCGAGTAGATGGTGACATTTTTGATAGCGAGTTTGCGAGAGTTTACTTATGATTATTTAACAAGTGTAAATAAAACCGTTATTTAACTTTAATTCAATAAAAAATGGCATAGATTAAGCTAAAATTGTCTAATGTGATCGGCAAATAGTTTTTTTGTCACACACTGTATATTAATAATTTTGAATAATTTTATGACAAGTAATTTCTATATTAAAATGTTCAATATGAATTCTGAATGATTATTAAATAATACTTCTTTTCTTTCATTTATTTTAATAACTTTTAGTGATTAATTGGTTTCTTTCTTATTATATCAGTATAATATTTCATTTTAGTTATATAGTCAAATCTCTCTATAGTTATTCTTTTTGAGTTTTTCAGTTATTAATTAGCTATAATTAAAAATATATTATATAATTAGCCAATTTTATTTTTTCAAATATAGTAATTATAAAGAGATTTGACTATATAATATTTAATTTTATTCTTAAATTTTTAATATATAGTCAGATCTTTATATAGCTATATCATCAGAATACAAAAAACTATAACTATATAATGTTATGACTATTATAAAGGTTTTCTCTATATAGTCACAGTTATTCTAAAAAATATATAATATGACTATATATAGTATTTTTATAAAATTTATCAGCTAATTAAATATTTAAATAAAAAAATATGATCTAATCATCTCTAAATTTTGATCAATCTTTCATGTCTTCTGAATTTATTACTAAAAAATATATTATTATATTAGTAACAAGCAAAAAAAATATATGAATTTGCTAAAAAGAACTTATTTTATAAATAGTAAATGAATTTATAAAATGATATTCAAGTCTAAAGATTAAATACTTAATTATATCAAAAATATTAAAAAAATTAATAAATATTAACTTCAAGATAATAATATATATGCTAAAAAAAACTCTTTATTATCATTCTGTAAAATATTCAATATTAGAACTTGTTATAAATATATAAATAGAATATATTATAACTAAAAGAATAATTATATCAGATTTAATAATAAAGAAAAAAGATTACTAATTTGTAAAAGTAGTTTTTATATTTAAGAAATCATTTATATTCTCAAATAGATAAACTACTAAATTTAAAAATATAATGAGTTAAAAAAATTATAATACATGATAAAGTAATAAGTACTTCTTTAAAAAAATTATCTGAAGAATGAAAAAAATTGCAAGAATTTCTTTCTTACTATAACTTAAAAGATATATATAATACAAATAAAATAAGTTTATTTTATTAATTCTTCTTAATTAAATACTTTCTAAAAAATTAATAGCTAAAAAAAAGATAAATTAATTAAAATAGTTAATTAATTAATAATAATATTTTTTAAAAAAAGTAAGTGTAATAATATTATTTTATTTTAATTTGACTAGTTTCATAAGTTTATTTATTAATTATTAATATTTTAAAAAGCTCTAATATTTTAATAATTTAAATATTTTATAATTATTAGTAATATATAAAAGTAACAAAAAAATAAATGATAAATAATATTTAGAAATAATAATTATATTATATAAATAAGAGATTTCATATTTAAAATTAACAGATTTTACTTCTTATTAATAATATAATTTCTTATATTACTCTGAAAATAATTAAAACTTAAAATAATAATATAAATAATATAAATAATAAAATATTATTTAAGAATAATTCTATTAATAAAATAGAAGAGCTTATAAAAGAATTACAAGAAAAACTAAAAGAAAAATTAAAAGAAAAATTATAAAAAAGATCATGAAAAAGATTATAAAAAAGATCACAAGAAAAATTACAAGAAAAATTATAAAAAAATTATAAGAAAAATCAAGACTTATAAATATTACTATATATTTTTTTCTCCTAAATATAACTATTTATATTTAGATAATAAATATTAATATTATTTAAAGCTTTAAATTAAAATATAAAAAGTTATATTATTATTATTTACTTTTAGAATTTGAAAAAAATAATAAAAAAATAAGAATTTTTTTATATAATTATATTTATATATTATTTTATCTAATTATTTATAAATATAAAAAACTTATTTTAAAAGAAATTATTAATTTTATTACTAAAGTCTAAAAAGATATTAGTAATATTATTATAAAAAATTATTATAAAACTATTAATCAAGAACAAGTAAAGAAAAAAGAAAGTTAAAAAATAAGATTAATTTTATAATTATATTAATTAATAATTTTCTAGTTGAAACTAATTTAGAAATTTAATAATTAGTAAATTATATTAAAAAATATACTTATATAATTAATTAATCTATTTCAACTGAAAATTTATTAACTAATAAAGATATTATTAAATGATAATTAATAAATTTAATAATAATAATAATAAATTAATAATAATAAGAAATTGTCATTATTATCTTTAATTATTATTAAAGTTATTAAAATATTAGAAAAGTTATAAATTATCAAGAAAGTCTTAAATTAAAAAAGAATTTAATAAAAATAAATTAATTATATTAT